TGATTCACCACCTTTTGTCAGCGCTGGTTAAATTGAAATAAATAAGTCTGAGCGCGATGTCATTAAGCTATGTTGCTTTCCTTTCGCTGTAGCGATTATTTTGTCCAGGTTTTGTTTATGTCACGTACTACCGTATTTTATAAAGCGAAACCAAAGGCCCACATCACATACATAGCTTAAGAAGCAGTTGCTTCATAAAGAAGTCAGCATTCAACGTCGCAGGAAACCTTGTTATGGTCGTGAAATTCACGTTCCAAAGCGTATTTGGTAATTCTCTCCAAAATCCAAGACACTTCAGCGCGCGAGGTCGCGAGGAGTCACCCGAGCTGTATTCTATCCTTTGATCTGATTGGCCTACATCAAAACAAAAGGTTTTACGTCACGGAAATCGTTTTGTCGCTCGGGTTCGCAGACGCTATTTTTCGGAGGGAGAGAAGCGACGACCGGAAATGCGTCTGCGCTTCGCAGGGTAGTCCGTCCGCTGCACCACAGGGAAATGCTCTTTTTCAATTGACAGCTGCCTGAAACAGGGTGTCCATTTACCAGTATCAAATGACCGTATCACGGTCTCAGATGTCAACTAATCTAGGTCACATTTTTACATTCATATTCACATTCGCTGTTAATAAATCACTGGCTCAAGTCAGCTTTTTTTTTTTTGACAAGGTCATCAGATTAGAGCGCTTAAAAGCACCGGTTTTTAAAATTTGTATACGGAACAAAAGGTACAGTGTTGTTATTAAAGAACTGTTTTAAAAACTTACTAATAGGAAGTTTTAAAGTTGAAAGTGAAATGCCTTTTTCCAAGCAGCAAAGTTGATTGAAGAAGACTGCTCCGTACGCTATCTGAGTTGTGTAAATAAAGCAGCCGTTCTTGTGATATTTTGGCGCGTTAAGTTTGTCTGGTGTTGCCGGTTAAATGAACCCTTCCACCGCGCTACTCGCGAAACACCGTACCCGATACCGTACCGAGGAAAATTGTCGCTGTGGTGTAAGCTTTGAGCGACCGCTGATTGCGTCACGCTTAGTTGCCCGGTCATACACATCGCGAGAGAGGAAACTCTGATGGAAAAAGTTTAAACTCAAGAGCGTCGCTATCGGTTTTGGTGAGAACCAAGACCCCAGAAGCATAGAAGGGAAAGACAAATTATCGGATAATCCTTTAACTGCAATTTTTGCGAGTTTAGACCCTTTTATGGGATTTATGGAGCTTCGAATTGGGACGGTCGGCTTGAGATTCGACAGCCTTACCTATTCCTTATTGTAAGAACAACTCGATAAAACTTGATAAAACGGTTTCCAAATGGCTCTAGAAGCGAAAAGATAGTAAAGCACACAACACAAACACAAGTTGAGTCATTTTTATTGATTTTTTTAATGTAATTTAGATCGTATTTTAATAATTTTATACATTCTCCTGTAAATTCTAACAAACTCTCATATAGGGTCTAGGCCGCCTGTGCTGTAAGTACATACATGCGACAACTCCACTATTCCCAGTGCTCGCTCGAGTAAAACTGCATGTCCTTAATTCTGACCAATTACCAGCGAGAGCTCTGTCTGAGACGTGTGTGCGCGCTTCTCCCTCAGAAGTGGCTTTCTGTGTATAAATGAACACGTGTGCAAGCAGATTTGTCCAGTTCGGCTGCAAGGGCGGGAGGATTGGATTCATCCGTCGTCTAAGCCAGTTGCGGGGGTGGGAGGTGGTGCCAGTTCCGCCCAATGAGTGCAAAAACCTCGTTTACTGAGGTGCTGCTGTTTCTTGTTTGATGAAACTGAGTTTTGAGAAATTTCGGCGCTAGATTAAATTGTGAATTGTGATTGGCTTATGGCGACTTTAGAGAGTAGACACGACTTAATCACGATAATAAAACCACATTTTTTCCCTGTAAGACTCCGTTTTACTTAAAACTTTTTCGATTATAAAAGCAGTAGACCACACTTTCTATGGGCCAACCGGCGTGACAACCCACTTGGGATGTTAGGAGAACACTCGAAAAGCTTGAAATCACTCGCCTTTGGCTCTTGTTTTAAGCTTTTCTCGTGTTCTCCCAACGTTCTGCGTGGGTTATTACACCGGTAAACTCGTAGAGAGTGTGGTCTGTGAAAGGTTTGAACCCAGGAGTCATTTCAAAAGTACGTTCTCAAGGCCTGGGTCGAAGGTGTGTTCTGAGCATATGAATGATTGGCAATATCTCTCGCTAGGAGACCTAGAACAAAATAGAATTTT